ATATGAGTTTCACTTTCTGAAATTATTGACAAAAAATATTGAACTTTTCACGATATTCAAATTTTTTGAGCTGTACCTGTACTGTCTTTACTTCCCCAAAGAACGAAGGACAGTACAACATGTGTGGCTTCATGCCCATCTGCAGAGAGGATAAAAGCGGTAAACTGTGAAACCGAGACAGCCAGTATGCGTCCGTCTGTGGCACTTCCTCACAGGTTAGTTAATGATGTTACTGAGTCAGTGTGAGCAGATTGTGTCTGTAGATTGAAGACAATCAGTAAAGAGTCTTAGTGATGGTGTAAATAATGTTTTTTCTGTTAAAAAAAAAAAAAGTGTCATTACCATAAAACACCTGCTATTAGAATAGAGTTTGGTTTGACCGAGGGTATTATAACCTTAATTAAAAAATTAAAAAAACTTCTGAATCTTAAAATCGAAATTTTAAACTACAGATAACATAAAGCTGCTTAGGACTCTGTATAACAAGCCCAAATCCACTCACGTCACTCACCTACACAAAACGTGTAGAATCCTTTTTCCACGGTATACCAAATGAGAACAAGGTTCTCAGTGGTAAGACATTAGGATGTGGTGGTTTTGCACATCACCAAAGATATGGTGTCTTTTGTAGAGATTTTATTTTCACCTAAAAGGGGGCAGGGGCATGACGCAATGGGCCATCACTAACCACACAAACACCATACCTCTGACTGTAGCTGCTGCAGGGCGGACTGTGTCTGCTGTAGAAGGGTGGCAACATCAGCAGCCTCCTCTCTACTCGGCTTAGAGGACGACTTGCTGCCCTTTCGTAAAGCCCTGTGAGTCGGGGGAAAAGCAGCAGAGGAGGTCAGAGAGGAGACTAATATCAAACTACTACTACAACTCACTTTTTGGAAGTCCAGTTAAGACAGAATGCTAACATGCAGACATAAGGGCGGGATATAATATGTGTACAAAGGAGACAGCATGCTTACTTGATGTGTGCAGGCCAGGGGTCGAGCGCGGGGTTGAGCATTTGTGTGAGGTGAGGCAGGTTCTCAGCAGCATAGAGCTCATTTAGTAGCATCTCTGCATCCATTCTGGGCCCAGCTGCCTTCTTGCAGCCTGGGACTAGAGTTAAAAGCTGCTCTAGGAACTGAAGCTGCCTTTGAGGACTTGCACCACCCTGGGAAATTAGACATAACGGGACATTTTCAGTTTATTGTGACAATGCGTATCTTTAATCTGTAAATCAATTAGATCTACACTAGTTTTATGCAACCTCTCCGATCAGGTCCAGGTCATCTGCTTTGCACAGCATCAGCTCCTGCCCAAGCACAGCTATTTCTGTTTGTAGAAAACAGACCACAGCATTTTAGTCTGAAGGATACAGAACTATAAGTATAAAGTACTCTGCATATGTGCACTCTCACTGAGATGTTTATGCATATTATTGCATTTATTCATCCATAAGGTACATACATAAGACAACAATACCTTTACACAAAACATCTGGGTCTTTGGATCTCATTGACATCGTCTTGGAATTGCCAAAGTTTGGGTTGATACTGTGTGACAAGGCAGAGGGATTAATACAAATTAGCTTTGATAGCTGAGAGCAGGGCTGATGTTCTATGTATTCTACCTGCTGCAGATCCATGCCAGTATGTTGGTGCGGTGCTCAGAGGGAACACACAGAAGCTGCAGCATGCTGTCTGCCTCCTGTAGGTCCACACCTTCCACCAAGGGACAAGACACAGCCTCAACAAAGACAAAACAGAGACAATGTTACCATATTCACTTTTCATTCAGTAGTACATGGCTGAAACAACTGAGGCAATATTGTTTCTGCTGTGAACAGGCCAGATGTGTTTACTGTGTAACAGTTATAGCTTTAGAATGTCATTTTCTGGTGTTTATATTCTACTACAGTATACTACTATTTGAAAATAAGCCTTCGCTGTATACATGATGGCAAATACTGTGATGCACCATGAAACAGCCAGAATCTTATAAAGTACAGTGATTCCCCAACACAAATACAGAGTACCGCAGTAACAAGCCAGCTCTGACCCTGCTTTATCCATGTCACATACTGAGACTCTTTAAGGTTTTGGTTACGGTAGACTGCTGAGTGTTTTGGATGTAAAAAAAAGTAACCTTTGCAAAAATGTAACAGAATGATACAAAAACGTTTACATGGCAATAAAGTTGTTGTGAATTGCAGGCATCATAAAGCCCAAACAGTATAGGCTTATCTCTATAAAGTGGTGCAAAAAGCTTTATGTGGAGAAAGCTCCAACTCCGAATCAAGTCTTCCTTGAAAAGAGAAATGTCTTTTCTTATTTTTGTAAATAATGTTTGGTTATTAGCTTTAAACTGTGTTGTGAACTCAGCCCTGTGGGTTCTGTAGGGAATGCTGTGTCAACGACTCACGTAGAAACCGAGAGCTAAACTAACCGGTAGTGACCAAGAGAAAAAAATAACCTTCCGAAAAGTGCGTATTTGTAATGTTATTTCGAATTATTTAAACTTCTTTTACCTGCAGTGTAGCATACACATGTCGTACAAGTTGTTCTTGTTTCAAAGCACCCGCCATTTTACGAACAAATCTCTTCTGCTGCTGCTGCTCTATGGCGAAGGCTTCTTCTTCTGCTGCTCAAATATGCGCCACACTAGACAACGGCGTATTGATGCCCTCTACAGGTCACCTGCAGAAACTCTTAAAAACAGCTATTTAACTGTGTAGGACGTTTGTATGTATATTAATATTTTATAAAGAAATCTGGCATTCATGTCTCACAAAATGAGCATATACTGTAATTAATACATCTGGCATTATATCTTTATCACCCTGCAGCTCCAGTATCTATGGTTACTGTAAATAATTAAAAAGATTTCTGTTGATGGCAATTCCATCTTCATCAAAAAAACAACAACAACACCTTAATCAGGAACTCACCCATCCTAAGAACAATAGTGCATGTTCAATGTAAATGGACAGACCTGGCTTATGTTGGTAGAACACTGAATGCTGTATTTACTGTCCCCTACAAATATGTGTTGGCTACATTTGAAAAACTAACCAAAACCATCAACTTATATAAACTCTTTGACTCTCTCCTTACTTAGATTAACCTCTTGTTTGTTTGTTTGTTTTGTGTTTTATGCATTTTCTTTTTTCTCATTTGTTTGTGTTTTTCAATAAAGTTTAAAAAGAAAGAAACTCTTGCTTATACTTTGAAGTTTGAAGTGAGCATCTTTAACGTTGCATTACTGCCCCCTTCTGGATTTATTCTTCCCCAATGTCCGTTTCTTTTAAGTCGTGTAACGTTAATAAGTTGCCCCCAAAAGACCTCATTAAGTTGTCTTAGAAACAATTTAATTAAATTCTTATTTTTAAAATGTAGATTATTTGATTATATTATATCAACTTTAAACAGCTGAACACACTCAATATTCACAGAGCCTTCACTGTCTAAAACTGCATTAGCAAAGTTCAAACAACCAAAGAGCTAAGAACAATGACAAAAAACACTGCATCTGTTAAAAAAGAAGCCTATTAAGTATGTTTGACTGTTAGAAGTACATAATACATAGTAATACAGACAGAGAATTCATCCAAATGTCTCTGGTTTTACACAAACTTCCTGCAGTCATTGTGTTCACTGTCTGGGTTCATTGTTCTCTGCTGTTACTGTAATACATTTAATATAATAAGAAATATCCATAAAATATGTCACTCATCAGGAGTAGTCAGTTTACTCAATGACAGAAAATAGGTCGCTCAAGGAAAAAGGTTGGAACCACTGCTCCAGTCCAGCAGGTGGCCCGTTAATGCACCGGTTTCGCCAAACTGCTTCAAACCCAGGGAGGAGGAGAGAGAAAAGAGAAGACAGAAGAAGAAGAAGAAGAAGATTAAACATGTCATTTCCGGGATGCGATACACTCGTTAGCTAGCTGCGAACGGTCTGCAGCTGTTTGGTTTCTGTGGCTGTTTCTGTGACAGTGGCTGGTCTCAGAGCAGCACTTTGTCGGCGTATAACGGCTTTATGCGTATAAGGCGTTAACGTGAGTCTACCGTTCGCCTCTCCCGCCATTAAAATGAAGAAAAAGAGCTCTGCGAAAAAACGCCATGTGGTGGCATGGGTCAACAAAGCCGAGTGGGATCAGGTTCTGGAGTATCTGTACTCGAAGGACCCCGCCTTACAGAGGTACGCACTGCAGAGGGTGTCAGCTTGGAAAGGCCGGTACGCCAGCAGCACCCCGGTGGCGGTGGAGTGCACGGCGGACCTGGTGAGGTGCCAGGTGCTGGACAGGTCCGGGCAGCTGGACGGGGATGACCTGGTTCTGCTTTACGGAGCGGCTCTGGTGAGGTTCGTCAATCTGATCACCGAGAAACAGCAGGGCAGGACCGCCCGGCCGCTCCGGAGGCTGGCTGGGAACCTGAACATCCCAGAGTGGGTTGTGGACCTGAGGCATGATTTCACACACCGGAAGCTGCCTACCTTGAAATGGTGTCGAAAAGGATGCAAGGTGGTTCTGGAGTGGCTCCAGCAGGAGTACTGGTCCAGGCAGTTGGGCGGAGCGCCTAACGAGGACTGGGAATCCCAGTCTGATGGGGAGGATGAAGAGGTTGACCTAAAACGACAGGAGGATGAGCTCATTGCCAGGCAGAAAGGAATGGAAGCCTATAAGAGTGCACGGGAGCTTCTGATATCCTTTGAGAAGGAGCAGTACCAGGCTTTTGACGGGCTTCCAGAAGAAAAAGACAGGAGCCCATGGCCGGCCCCCTTTGCAGACATGAGCTGGTTACTTGGGGAGATCAAACAGTTTGCGTTGGAGTCAAGTGAACTGCTGATTGATGTGTTGTTGGAAGATGGATTTCTGGTTCCTACTGTTGAGCAACTGGAAACATTAGGCTGTGACACTTATGACAACACCAGTCCCACTAAAACCACACTCCCTCAGACCTTCCTGCGTTTTTGGCTGCCCCTCCTGAAGATGCTCAACTCCCCGTCCTTCATTCACCTCCTCCTGGAGAAGCTGTTTGTCGAGCTGAAGCAGCTTACCACAGAGCCCAATAATCAACGGGCGTTCTACATTTCTGCCTGGATTTCAGAAGTCCTCTACTGTAACAGCAACAAATTTGAGTTCCATTTTGAAACAAAGGGGCAGAAGAAGGCCAGGATGAAGGACAGGATTTTTGTGAACCGCATCCAGCTGAGGTGGCAGCAGCTGCTTGCAGCATGCCTGGATGCTCCCTGTGCCAGCACGCCTCATTTGCTCCAGTTAATCCTGGATGACATGGAGCATCCTCTTCCTCTAGAGACCCGGCAGAGGCTGCTCAAGCTCTGCTCCATCTACACACAGACTGCGTGTGCAGAATTTGACACTTCTCCGCGGCAGAAACCACAGCCCATATACACACTGGAGAGTTTGCACGAGAAGCTGCAGCTTTCACGGCGCCACAGCCATCCCTGGCGTTCCACTGCTGACCCGGAGAGGAGCGAGTCCTCCCAGGAGTACAATGGGACAGATGCTCAGGCTGAAAAGGCAAAGTTGCTCAGAGGTTCTCCGTGGCATGTGTGCGTTGATAAGGTTTTGTGGAAGAACTATCCTCTTGGTAAAGTCCCTGGACAGTCAGATGACCCTTCATGCCTCATGGTGGAAAACTACTCAACAATGACTGTGTTTGACCAGCCGGTGGAGATGGAAAACAACACATCACACAACATCCCAGGAGCGTCTGCAGCAGTGAGGACAGCTGATGGCCTTTTGTGGAACCACAGTGATGTTAACAGGCTGAAATCTGGACTGCAACTATTTTGAGACATGATGTAATGCTGTAAAATATAAGCCTTAAGCTGCTGGCACATTATTAAACTGGTGCTCTCTGTTGTTGTGACACTTGGAAAGAAGAAAAAGTGTAAACTGAATTTGTTGCACGATAAAACAAAAGCAGTGGATTAATCAATAAAAAAAATGGTGTCGAATTATAATTTCCCAGAGCCTAAAGTGATGTTTTCAGATTACTTGTTTTATTCAACCAACAGTCCAAAAGCCAAGTTTTCACATGTTTCTGTCATTTTCTAGACAAAACAATTGTTAAAAAAAGAATCCGCTGAGTCATTGATATTAAATAACTTTTCTTTATTGTTGTTAATGTAAAAGCCTTCATGTGCTCCGTCTACAATATTTTTAATATGTGGCTAAGACAAAAGTGCAGCTAGTACAGACATGTAACACATAAAACAAACTGAGGAAAGAATGAGAGAATAGGGTATAGTTCATTCAATATGATTAGGAGTACAGTGAGTTTGTTTTTCTTCTTAAACCTGTCACGCTAATGGTTTTTGATGCCTTTCAGTTAAAATCCCTGGCAAAAAGAATTTCCCCATTGGGGATTAATAAAAAATAACATCTTTTGCGCACTTATGTTCAATAAAACTTGTTTCTACTAAAGGAGTATGATTGTGTTCATTCAGAGTGTAAGATGCTGAATTGCAACATATAAAGACACAAAAAAGATATCTAGCCTTTCTGTTTTATATACTGCATCTCTATATCTGTAAATGAAAACAGCTAATTAGGACAAAGGAGTTGAATGATAGAGTACATAGTAAATACGAAACAAAGCACAATTTAACAGCAGAGATTTTGACATATTCCTGAAAAAGGGCAAAATGCAATACTTTTATGAAGCTTATCATTTCTCTTGAGACTGTCAGACGGGTAACTGGTCATTTCTAAGGATTTTATGTCTTTTTTTATATTAAAGTAAAAATTGGACAACAATATATAGCAAGTAGATACATCATTTAGTAGACTCCTTCGGAAATAGGGCACACAATGTAAACCAGATTATAATCTAATAAAAGACAAAGAATAAAATAGTAAAGAGGGTCTATTCTTCTCAGAAAAAACACAAATAAGGTTGTGTCCAAATGCAATATCAGAGTGAACACTTTTGACAGTGTACTTGCCCACTGAGCAGAGTTCAGTAGGACTTTTATTTTGAACAGTTTGTCCGGAAGTGTCTTAGAGCGGCTGAACGACGTATTCAGTGTGTTCAGTCGTTGAACGCGCCATAACTGTTAGCGAGCTGTGAGCGATTGAGAAAACATTGTGTAACCAGCCCGGTTTCATCACAGGACTCCGTTCTAGTGCTGTATTATCGCATTCATTCTTCAAACGGGACGGTAAGTTGTTGGTTGAAGAAGTAACGTTACCGGTAAACGCTGCTGCGTCATTCGTGAGTTCTGTTCGTTAGCGCCGCATGGCTTTAGTTCACGTTAGCCAGCAGGTTTAGTTGCTGTTAACGAAACTGTGCGGACACACGCCGGTAACATAGTTAATGTTAGTCAGGGCAATGCTATTGACCTAACCAGAACACCCATACATTATTTCTGTCAGCCACATTCAACTAGCGTTAGCCCGACGCTGACGCCACTGTGCTGCTTGCACAAATAAGGCCTTGTTAGCTAGTGTAGGTCGCTAAGGTTAGGTAACTTAAGGTTACGAATAACTATTGTAATTCTTTGTGAATGCACAAATTGAATCTGAATTGCTGTAGTGGATAGGGATATGTATTGTGAGGTTTATGTATAAGAGGGTTAATTTATTGTTAAGCATCGTATAGTGCTAATGCTAGTGCTCTGGGGCCTGGC